AGCATCAGACTCACAGACTTCAAGAAGGGACTAGCAGTTATCAAAGGGGAGGGGTGGGGCAGGGCAGGTGGGGAGGGAGGGAGAAAGGGATTGTGGGGTATCATGATTGGTGCACATGGTGTGTGTAGGGTCACGGGGAAGACAGTGTAGCTCAGAGAAGACAAGTAGCGACTCTATGACATCTTACTACACTGATGGACACTGACTACAATGGGGTATGGAGGGGGGACTTGATAATAAGGGTGAATGTAATAACCACATTGTTTTTCTTGTGAAACCTTCATAAGAGTGTATATCAGTGATATCTTAATTTAAAAAAATGGAGTCAGGAGGCCAGCACGGAGAGCTTTCACAGCATACCACTTGAGGCCAATCACAGGAAGAACTGTCAATTACAGACCCTAACAGAAGAATCTGTCAATAGGAAAGAATCATTAATTACAAGTCCCAACAGGAAAGAATGTACTTTGCACCCCCTACAGGAAATCAACTACCCCAGCAACTCAGTCAATGAGAAACAACCTTTCACCCTGAACATTTCTCCTTTGGACTGTCACTAAAACAACCCCTCCCAACTTTCTCCTTCTCTGTAATGTTCCTCTCCCTTTTATATTGGATTTGCCCATGGTTTTGTCATTGCTTGCATGCTCCAAATTGCAATTCTCTGCTATTCCTGAATAAACTTATTTTTGCTGGTAAAGTATCTTATTTTTAAGGTGCTAATTATAAATAATGTCAATTTTATTTCATTTCCAATATATATCTTCTATTTTTCTTCATTTTTGCATTGACTAGGACAACTTATTTCCTCTGATACATTCTCAATTTTTATTTTTGCCTTGAATATTTTAAAGCAAATTCTAGGTATGTACTTTCACATGTAAATGCCTTAGTATCTCTTACCGATAAGAAAAATTTTAAAGCCTAAACATAACATGAACATGCAATTACCCATTTTAGAAAAGTAAAAATGTTTAATAATACCTAAGCTCTGATAAAAATGCCTCATTTGTATATTTAGAACATTTTTTTTCAAATTCACATACCAAAAAGAGCCATAGTTTTTACTGGTTATCATTATTAAATTTGGTTCTATTAATAGTGCATGCTCTGTCACTTTTTTATTTTTTGTACGTGAAAGAGGAAACCTTGTTTTTCTTACACTTGTGATGGTTCAGATTTGGCTGATTGCTCCTGCAACATCAAAAACTATATCCAATGGAACAGTAATTGCAGGATTTTATTGTCCTTTTTTATATTTTTATGTTCTGCTTTCAGGAAGAAATCCTCCAAGAACTATCTTAAGGCAACATGTCACGCACAGCAGACATAGAATTCTTCCCACAATAAATAAAACATAATTTAACATTTTATTTACTCACTTTTTCTCCATGACATCCTCTACTCCCTTCTCTGCCCCATCAGCAATCATTCTAATTTGTTTGATGTGTTTTCTTTTAGGTGTGTTTTTGTGCAAAATATGTTCAGTTTGTGTACATATAATTTATATTGATATAAATGATCTTGTGTCATAAAATTAACTCTGGTGTTTATTTTCTCCATCTGGGAGTATGTTTTTAAGATTTATCCACCCATCTATAGAACTCCATTTCTGCACCCACAGCATTTTACCCATCTACTCTTCCTATATCCATTGCCAATAACAATGAAATGAACAATTTCATACATGATGGCTTATAGACCTATGTGCAAATCTTTTGAATACATACTCAAGAATGAAATTATTTCATAGCATGTGTATACTGAAATTTATATTAGCCAAATTGATCTCCAGAATTACACCAGTCCATATTACCAAGAATTGTATGAGATTTTTTACATAACTACTTCACTTTCATTTGGATGACTGACTCATCACCCTCAATTTGCTAGTATATTAAATGTATAGCAGTATCTCATTGTTATTAAAATTTTCTGATGCCTAATAAGCTTGACTGCTTTTTTCAAATGCTTCATTGCCTTATTTATAAATGTCAGCTTATCCCCTTTGCTACATTTTCTTTGTGGATACTATCCTTTTCTTTCTTGTTTGCATTATAATATTCTGATTATTATCATTGTTGGCATTAGAGATTAACCATGTTTTAAAATTTTGTCTATTGTGCCCTTTGTTGAATAGAAATCTTTAGCTATAATATACAAAACTATGAATTTTTAAATTCCTGTGGCTTTGAAACCAAGGTAAAAATATTAGTTTTCTAGACTTGTCTTTTATGGGTCCTTTCATAGGACATTGTCTTTCATTTAGGCCCTTTAAATATTCTGGAGTCTATTTATGTACACCTTACTACATGGGACTCGACTTTTATTTTTCTTCAAAAGAAATTAAAAAGAGTGATATTCATGGCTTGAAGGTTCAATATTACCAAGATGTCAATGTTCCCCAAAATGATCTATGGTACCAATCTAACCCCAATAAAAATATCATATTTTTTCCTGGAAATCAATGAGTTGATGATAAATATTATGTGGGAAAGCAAAGAGCTAAAAAAAGTTGGGATAATCTGAAGTAAGAAAGAAAAGGAAGACACAATAGTAGATATTAAATCTTATTATAAATCTACAATATAAGATAGCCTGGTATATGCTGTAGACAAATAAGTGGAGACATCAAGATCCATATTGAAATATATATAATTTGTACAAAAGAAAACACTGTAGCAGAGAGGGTAAAGAGGTCTTCTAAATGTGGTTCTGTTAGTTGGCTGTCTATATGGGGGGGAATTTATCATTATCTCATAGGATACAAAGATACAAATTCCGAAGTTCTGCAGACCTATTTGAAAAGTAAACAATGATGCTTTAGGACAGAAACAAAAGAGAACAGCTTTTTACTTGGTGTAGGAAGAATATCTTAAGACCAAGAGAAAAAAAGAAGAATCTCAAATTTTCTAAGAAAAAAATGAAAAAAAAACCCGGACTATTTTAAAGTTAAGAAACACTGTTAATCAAAACACACCACTAATAGAATGAAAAGGAAAAAAAGAGATATTTTAAAAACACTTATGGGACAAAAGACTCCTATGCAAAATACAAACCTCCCAATCAGTAAGGAAAAGACCGGTACCCCAAAACAAACATGGACAAAAAACTTAACAATCCAGAAAAGAGGATTTCAGAGTAGCCAATAATCATGAAACTCCATTAATCAGAAAGGAAATTCAAATTAAGTTGTTATGAGATACCAATACACTCTGATCAAAAAGGCTAAAATTTAAGATTGAAAAAAAAATGTTGGCACAGATGCCAATACATGCATGTCACTAGAGGGAGTGTAAATTGGCATAACTACTTTGGAATCCCCTTTGGAAGTATCTACTAAAGTAGAATATACAACCTATAGCCGGTTCATTCCACCCATAGAAATGTTCCTCAAATAAATGTGTCATACATTAAGCATAAGACCTACTCTAGAGTGCTTATATTGGCACTATTTATGATTGCCAAGAACTGGAGATCACCTAATACTCAACAATAGGATGAATAGATTATTAATGCTTACACATTGTAATAATTTCCACCAATAAAAGTGAATCAAAGCCATCCATTCCAAACAATATGGATGAATGTCCACATAATGTTGACTGAATGAAACTAGACAACTTGTACATATTGTATGACTCCACTAATACAAAGTACAAAGCAGGCTAATTGAATCTGTGCTGTTGTAACTTAGTGGCTACTATAGGGAAAGGAAGGTTATTAGAATGAGCCAACAGGGATGTTTGTCCGGTGTTGAATATGTCCTGGTCCTCCAAGAAGTTGACACCCCATGCACTTTGAGGCACAGTCTTCACAACACTACAGACAAGACAGCTCCTTTTCTCTTGACTGAACAAAGAACAAACAAAAGCCACTGCATAGCTCACGTACTGTTGCTATCTTGTGACCAGCATGGACCTCATGATCACCCAGGAGGGTAGATGCAAGTCAGTTATGCAGTTATGAGGACAATAAACCATTTTGGTTTCATCTCATCTTATACAAGTTTACCTCAAGGAAAGATGACCCATTACATCTTATGACAGCAAAACAAAACAAAATGAAGGCACTGGATTTCTAGTGTCACATGTGCAGAGAAGAATTTAACATAGACTTGAGACTGCTATCTTTAGGAAGGCCTGCTTGCAAGGCTGACTCGTGACTGGTGTCTGGATATTCGGGTTGCAGGAGGACTTCTACCATTCCCTGATGAGTAGCTCACAGTGCCAAAGCTATTTGTACAATGTGGTTTATGCTGAGTACCTATTTTCCTTCTGAGAGTGTCTAATTTTGGTACATGCTATGCAGAGTGCCTAGGTGACCAGTCCCAAATAAATACCTAGGGTGTCAAGCCTCTAATGAACCTCTCTGGTATACATTTCGCATGTGTCGTTACAATTCAATGCTGAAGGAACTTAGACATCATGTGTGATCCACAGGGAGAGGCTTCTGGGAAGCTGACACATGATTTCCTCCAGAAGCCATCCCATGTACCTTTTCCCTTTGCTCATTTTACTTTGTATTCCTTCTATCAAATCATCATCTCGAATATGACTAGCGTCTTTTGAGTACTCCTACTGAGTGACAGAACATGGAAGTAGTCTTAGGGACGTGCAATACACCACGCAGAGTGAGACAGCATGGACCTTAGTGAGTACCTCACATCCTGTGAAGGCATGATACAGAAAACCAACTGTGGAAACCTGTCCCTTCAATTACATGTGATTTGGTCAGTGGATCCCTTTAACCAACTACACTGAAAATATCATCATATATGAGTATGGAATGGCAACAAAACTTGTTATCTTTACTGGTTCCACTTCTAGAGGATCCTCCACTATTCTGCTGTGTTCCTCCCTCATGCATACCTTTTCAACACGGAATCTTTTTTTTTAATACCTGCACAAGATATGTACACGATTTTTTAGCTCTAGGATTTGCCCTCTTTGTTATGGGTTTATATTTAAAGCATACATGCACAAATTACAAAGATAAAATTGTTGAAAACTCAGTTTATCTCTGAATGCAGCATAACCAGAGAATTTTTTATTTTTGAAAATGGCTTCTGGAGTCCATTCCTTAATCATGATATGTCTTATGACAATATAGAACACTCATATCATGGGGTCTTAACTGAAAGGGATGATTATTTAGTACTTTTTCAATTTCTATTGTAATAGTTTATTGCTTTAGTAATATTCAATGTTCAATGAAAAAATAAAACAGTAAATTATAAAAGGAGAAATACCACAGGAGAGTATTCCTTTATACATCTCATGCATGTACACATACATGCACATTCATGCGCACATATATGCATACACAGATTTGATTATACTATAAAAGCCACAAACTATTATCTCAAAGCCCATATTACATATTTCTCCTGTTATTAAAGATACCTGCCATAATTTTAATTGTCTTCATAGGAATATACCAAAACTCAAATTTCTACATATATATATATACACTTACGTCCATTTAAAAAATTCAGTGATATCATCAATGTGGTTCTCATCTTTTTGGTATTTTAATCTCATCATCATAACATCCAATTATATAATTTCCCGATGAAAGACATACATAATCTATATTCTGATATATAGTCCTTTCCCAAAACTATGCTTTATTGCTACCAACAGGGAAGAGCATATAAATGCCATTCTTACTTCAGTAATATATTGGATAAGATTATCAAATTCCCTTAAGATTTTCTGGTACTCATTTCATGGGTGCAGGGAAAGAATATGGTATAACCCCTACCTGAGAAGTTTTAATGAAAGAAATGCTCAGAAATTAGAAAGCAAACATTTCAAAGTCTAGATGTAAATGCAGAGAATTAGAAAATGAATTCAAGGTCAATTAAGAACCAATTATCATTGGTAACCGCCTACAACACTTTCAAAGTGTTATGGCAAACCCATCTCAACACTGAAAAAGAAAAGTGCAATATGCAGTAACTTCTTATAAAGTTTTAAAAACTTGAGCAGCCTGTGCTTTCAGGAAAATCACAGAACAGTCCAATTTATACTGTACCCAAACTAGACAGGGCCCCAAATAAGAACCCAACTTGAGAACAGAGGTTGTGGGGGGGCCAGGAGCCAAGTGCAGAAGGGAAATACCACATTCATGTTGCAGACCATACTGTCTAGCGGTTTTCTGCATTTCCACAGGTTCACTTCCCTGAATTAATTTCACTTCGCAGGTTTTCCCCTCAGGATATGACTTTCACATACGGTACATTTTCTCCTTTGGTTTCTTTGACATACAAGCACTGAGCACACCTACAAGTGCTAGTCAGTGTTAAGGCTGTGTAGGCTCAGCAGCAAAGTCCCTGCCCTCGTGGATCTTACCTTCTGGTAGGTATCAGTTCTGCATGCCCATCATTTCATCTTCGTTAAAGGCTGGACCAATCTCTTTTCTTTCTAAATACTATCCTCTAACTGACATCAGATAAATATCAAAGTTCTGAATGAATCCTTTACTGCACCACTTACAAACGTTTTCTGCTGCATCGTCTGGCAAAAACAGATATATTCAGCAACTACTTAAAACACCAAATAAATTAAAACAATTATTTTCTCTCCTCTGAGAGCTGGTAAGAATTCAGGTCACATGTGAGCTTTTTTTTTTTAAAACATCATTTTGTAGAACTTCTTTCCCATGTGGAGTCTCTGATGTTTTTACCACTCTTTCTGCCTTTATAAACTGTATCATCAGCATGGACTCTGTGATGACTTACAAGATTTGATCGCCAACTGAAGCTCTTACCACATATCTCACACTTGTAAGGTTTCTCCCCTGTGTGAACTCGCCTATGATACTGAAGCTGTGAAGACCGACTGAAGACCTTACCACACACATCACATTTGTACGGCTTCTCCCCAGTGTGGACACTCTGATGAAGTTGAAGACTTGAGGCCTGACTGAAGTGCTTCCCACACTCCCCACACTTGTATGGTTTCTCTCCTGTGTGGACCCTCTGATGCATGTCAAGATTCAAGCTCCACTTGAACCCCTTCCCACACTCCTCACATTTATATGGCTTTTCTCCAGTGTGAACTTTTTGATGGGCTTGAAGGTGTGAACTCCGACTGAAACTCTTCCCACACTCTTCACATTTGAATGGTTTTTCTCCACTGTGGACTCGCTGATGGGTCAAAAGATGTGAGGCCTGACTGAACACTTTCCCACACTCCTCACAATTATATGGTTTCTCTCCTGTGTGGATTCTGCAATGAATTTTAAGATCTGCTCTACGACTGAATCCTTTCCCACATTCTTCACATTTGTATGGTTTCTCACCAGTATGGATCAGCTGGTGAACCTGAAGTCGTGAACTCTGGTTGAAGCCCTGCCCACATTCCTCACACTTGTAAGGTTTCTCTATGCTGTGGGCCTTCTGATGGATTTTAAGATAGGAACTCTGACGGAAGCCCTTTCCACACACCTCACATTTATAGGGTTTCTCTCCTGTGTGGACTACCAGATGAACTTGATAATGGATTTTCATCCGGAAGCTCTTCCCACACTCACTACATTTGTATGGTTTTTCTCCTGTGTGGACTCCCTGATGGGCTTGAAAACTTGAACTGTAGATGAACCCCTTACCACACACTTTACATACATATGGTTTCTCACCAGTGTGGATTCTCCGATGGGCCTGAAATTGTGAAGGCTGAATGAAGCACTTACCACACTCCTCACATTTATAAGGTTTCTCTCCTGTGTGGACCCTCTGATGGATATGAAGATTTGAGCTGCAAGTGAAGCACTTCCCACATTCCTCACATTTGTACGGTTTCTCTCCCGTGTGGACCATACAGTGACTATTAAGTGCTGATCTGCGACGGAAGTTCTTACCACATATATCACATTTGAAAGGTTTCTCCCCAGTGTGGATTCGCCGATGTTCCTGAAGATGTGAAGCATGAATGAAGCCTCTTCCACATTCATTACAATTATAAGGTTTCTCTCCCGTGTGTAATTTACCGTGAACAATTAGTGTTGACCTACGACTGAAGCCTTTCCCACACTGCTCACATCTGAATGGTTTCTCTACAGTGTGGACTTTCTGATGAGTCTGCAGATGTGAGCTCTGACTGAATTCCTTACCACACTCCTCACACTTGTAGCGTTTTTCTCCCAAGTGAACTCTCTGATGAATACGAAGTGCTGAGCTGTAACAGAAGCTTTTTCCACAATCACCACACGTATGAGACTTTTCTCCTGAGTGTTTTTGTTGATGAAGATCAAAGTGGGAGACATCATTGAAAGATTTTTTACATTCATTACACTGATAAGGTTTCTGGTCTATGTGAATTATAGACAATCCTGCCCCCATCTGTCTGGGTAAATCAGTTTGCTTAGGGAACTGACAATAGCTTTTAATGGCATCTTGACATTTGGTTAAGTCACTTGTAACCTGTTGCCAGATCTGCCAGCAGGAAAGCTCTTCATGTGGTCCTGATGCTGAAGCAATCTCCATCTCATTTTGGCTCTTTCTTCCTGTAAGGACAGAAAATCCGGAGATTTGGACACATGAAGGCTTTGTTCAGTGTTTTCAGGATTTTACATTTAGGAGAGAACATGAGACTTCAATGAATCTAGAGAATATTCAGTTTGTCTTTCCCATTGTGTATCATGTTCTCTGATTCGCAGGCCTATGGGAACCAGTAGGTGGTCCAGCTGGCTCCTGTCCGCTAAGCACAGAAATCCATTAGTATACACCAAGTCTCCTTGGTGAGGTACAAGGGAGATGTCAGAGACTTAATTTAGAAAATTGGTAATATTTAAACTGTTAACCTATGACCATTTCTATTTAATTTCAAAGTCAGGGTAGAATCATTGATGGCAAATTATGTAGTTAATTAACTCTGTTGATAGGAAAGGTATATAGATAATAAAATATGAATCAACTAGAACTAGAAAAGCAATAATAACCAAACATTTTGTATTTTGGGCTCATGTTATGTATCCTAATATCAAATACCTTTAAGTATTTGAATTTATATATTCAAAGTACTTCTTGAAATTCTGCACATGTACACCTGATCTTATTTTTCTGTGTTGACAGACAGTAAATGAGTTAGCAACTATTACAGACTTTTGACCACTTCTAATAACTGAATTTTTGAAATGTGTTTTCTAAGAGATTTACCCTATTGATATTTCAAATTTTCTGTATTTATACAGATATCTAAACATCTGGAGATTCTTTTTTCAATTAACTTCTCAACTAGTTTAAAAAGTACCTCTCTTAAAATTCAACAACAAAGAATCTGGTTTAAAAATGGGCAAAAGACCTTAACATACACCTCACCAAAGACAATGTACAGATGGCAAATAAGCAAGTGAAAAGATGCTCCACATCTTATGTCATCAGGGAAATGCAAATTTGAACAATGAGATACCACTACACACCTATCAGAATGGCAAAAATCCAGAACACTGACAACACCAAGTGCTGGCCAGGACGTGGAACAACAGGAACTCTCATTCATTGCTGATGGGAACGCAAAATGGTACAGCCACCTTGGAAGACGATTTGGTGGTTTCTTACAAAACTATACATACTTTTATCATCCTATCCACCTATGATGTTCTTTGGTAGTTATCAGAAGGGGTTGAAAACTTAAGTCCACACAAAAGCCTATATATGGATGAGTAGAGCAGCTTTATTCATAATGACAAAACTTGGAAGACACCAAGGTGCCCTTCAGTAGATAAACAGATAAATCAACTGCAGTACATCCACACAAAAGAATATTATTCAGTTCTAAAATGGTATGTGCTGTCAAGCCGTGAAAAGGTGCGAAGGAAATTTAAAGGCATATTACTGGGTGAAAGAAGCCAATTTGAAAAGTCAAAATACCATGTGATTTCAACTATGTAATATTCCAGAAAAGGCAAAAGTATGGAGACAATAAAAAAATCAGTGGTTGCCAGGGGTTTGTCGGGAGGAATGAAGAGTCAGAGCACAGAGGATTTTTAGGGCAGTGAAAATACTTTGATACTGTAACAGTGCCTAGAAAGCATTATACATTTGTCCAAGTCCATAAAATGTACAACATCAAGAGTGAGGCCTAATGTAAAGTATAGACTCTGGGTGGTAGTGATGTGTCTATTTAAGTTCATCAGTTTCATCTGGTGGAGGATGTCAATGTTATAAGGGGCTGTGTGGGGGCAGGGAAATATGGGAGATCTCTGTACATTCCTCTCAGTTCTGCTATGAACCTAAAACTGCTCTAAAAAATAAAATTGGTTTTTAAGAAAAAGAAAGTTCTTCTGAAGAAATTTTTACAAAGGAGAAATCCACTCTCCTCCCTGTAGGAGTCAATTACAAGCTGCCTCCTCTTTTTATCCAGTAAACATGGCATGATAAACATCTCTATATTTCTGCCTTGGGTCATTTTATTAGAAAGTTATTTCAACGTCAAAGTGCCTGGAATGACTAGAATGATTTGCAGCTTGGGAGCAAATACTTGATCACATGTTGACTAAAACACAGCATAAAGCAGAGAATGGAACTTAAGCTCCTACTAGCAAGTTTCCTGCATGAAGACAAAAATGAAACTGAGTAGATAATACATATTATTCTCAAACCCGACAGTGACTCAGATCTCTAGAGAAAAAGTGACAAAGAGGAAGGTAATCTTTTACAACGAAGGCAGAGCCTGGGAGAAGGAAAAGATGAGGTCACAGTGTAAACTCTGAAAGCCAACCCCAGAACGGGAGTCCAGTTCTGCCAGGAACTATCCCCGAACACATGGATGGCTCCTGTCTTCTAGGTCCCTGCTCAGTGTCAGCCCACAGAGGCCTCGTAGCCCCCAGTGCAAAATAATAAGTCTTGCCCCCACTCAGTTCACCTCTGGCCACTTCCATCTTCCTTGTTTGTGTTCTACCCAGCACATTTTACCACGCACATACCAAGTCACTTGTTGTTTAGTACCTGTCTTTCCCACCACGATGCAGCTTCAAGGAGGGCGGCACTTTACACCTTGTATGCTGAACACTTTGTACACTTTCCTACTTTATAACCTCCATTCAGAACCATGCCTGGACCAAAGAGAGCACTCAAAAAATGCATGTTGAATGAATAAATGAATCCTGCTTTGACTTTTTTGGTGAGAGCCTAAGCCAAGTCCTAGAAGGAAGCCTATTTTTCAGGTAAGTTATTTGAAATAGGAAAGGGACAGAAAACCACATTTCTGCTGGAAAGCTGAAAAGCTGTACCAGGCTTGGAGGTACACCAAGAATGATGTTAATGAGAAAACCAAAGGTGGCAAGAATGCCTTGGGGTGAAAAGAGAGAGGGCCTATCCGTGGTCCCTTCGGAAGCCTCTGTGCTGTCTCTTTAAAAACAGTGTGGATGGAGAAGACAAGTAATGACTCCATAGCATCTTACTGTGCTGACGGACAGTGACTGTAATGGGGCGGTGGGGGGGGGACTTAATAATACTGGTGAATGTTGAAACCTCAGTGTCACTTATGTGAAACCTTCATAAGAATGTATATCGATGATACCTTAATTTAAAAAAATAGAGTGTGAAAAACTTAGGATGTAGATAAAATAGTCCAGTACAACAGTTTTTCAAATGGAAATTTCTAGCCCTCCAATGAGCTTGAAATAAATTTAGAAGCTTGTAATAAGCAATCAGAAAAACGAACCAGGATAGAAATGATCAGAATATCACCACCAACAGGAAAGGGATCATTAGATGAAATGCCTATGGAAGTCATACATATAAATCTCCAACACATGAAGGTTTGTTCTGGTTACAATGAAAGACACATCTCTTATTATGGCTCATGCTCAAAAAAAATCTTGAAAAGTTTGGTTCTATTCTTAATTAAACAAATTGTTCAAATGGGAAACATGAGTTCCAGAGTAGAAGCTTGCAAAACTATTACTAGGTACCGATGTACTTCTTGGTAGGTAGTGTGGTTTATGGTTGTCGTTAACAAACTGAACCTTAAAAATGGATGTGTGAGAGGGTCAGGGAGTCTGAGGATGTGACAATTTCGAGCATGAACTTTTTAGATTCTTTCCAGGTTATAATGTTCACTAAGTGAAAAAACACCGAGTCTTTATAAAAATCAAGGGAATTTTTGTGTTTGTTTAATGGCTAAATTTGTAGAAAACAAAGGCACAGAAGATTTTTGAACCAGACATATAGGCAATAATTAGGTATGCATCTCATGTCATTCTTACCTTAAATCTTCCCCGTCAAGAACAGGGAAGGGGAACCCAGGGGGCACTGACACAGACAGGAGTTTTGAAAGAGAAGACTGGCTGTAGATGGCAAATCAGTGGACAGGCAGTTTGCAGCCTGGTAACTGTCTGACACTGTAGGAAATAGATGTTGTTTCCTCATGTGTGGAAGCTGTCTGAGAATTAGACATGAGAATCCTCATTCCTAAAGTATTCTTCCCATAAGTGAACATGCTCCCCTCTGGAAGGCTCCAGGAAAGCCACAGGGAAAGCACGTGACTCAGTATGGTCACAACCACAATGCTCACGAATTTCTCTGGGAAATGGGCCAAGTGCACACACACCAACGCACATTCACGCCCAGGGCACCTACAAAAGTAACTGGATAGGCATTTGCCATAAGAAAAAATATTCTGCAATGGCTTTCATTCCCTCTGATTTGCAGGCGACCTAGAGTCATCTCCCGCCCCATGGAGACACTGAGCTCCACACCCATTAACACCTCCACTAGGCCAGCAGGTATTTACAGATGCCTGGCACAAAGCGGGCTATTCTAGGCACCGAGAACAGTCATAAACAGGAGGGAGGCACAAAAATCCTCACTCCTGGGGACTATGCTCTAGTGTGGAGAGAGGAGATACGCAAGCAAACAAAAACCTAAGAGACACAGTAGAAGGCAGAACAAGGAGAGGGAGGGACTGGCACTGTGCACAGGGCGGTCAGAGATGGCCTTTCTTGTGGCGTTAAAAACGGAGCAGAGACTGAATGAGTCAGAGGGCAAATTGGGCGGCTTTTAGGTGAGAAGTTATGTCTGGCAGAGGAAGCAACTAAGGGCTCTGAGGCAGAGGTGTCTGTAGTAGGCAGAATAACTGTCCCCCCAAGAATCCCTGTCCTAATATTTGGAGAATATTATGTTGGGCTACATGGCAAATTAACCTACATGGGGAATTAAGGTTGCAGATGGACTTAAGGCTGTCAGTCAGTGGACCTTAATATGGAAGACTATCCCCTATCACCTGGTGGGCTCAATGCAACAAAAGGGTCTTTCAGAGTGGAAGAGGGAGATGTGGCCACGGAGGAGGGGCAGAGAGAAGCAACACCGAGAAGGCGGAGGGAGGTGGCCAGTGGCTAAGAAATTTGGGTGACTTCTAGGAGGTGAAAAGGCAAAGACACGACTCTCCCCAGAGCCTCCAGAAGGAAATCCAACACGGGGACACCTTGATTCTAGCCTAGTAAGAACCAAGAGACCCTTCGGACCTGTGGGGCTCTAAGGTCATCGGTGTGTGCTGTTGGAAGCCATGAAATTTTGGTGATCTGTTAGAGCAGCGAGAGTCCCTGGCAGGTCTGAGGAAGGGGAGGGAGGACGAGGGGGGTGGAGGGAGGAGAGGAGATGTTCTCGCAGAGGCGGCGCATGTGGAGCAGACCAGGGGGACTCTAGGTGCCACCCGGAGAGGTTTTAACGTTAAGAGAAAGAAAGCCCTAAAGCGCTTTGAGCAGAGCAGTGGCCATCTGACCTACCTTTCCTAGGGGTCACTTTGGCTGCTGCGTGGAGAACAGCCTACAGCAGGGAAGGCGGAAGCAGGGCAACTGGTACGAAGGCGGCTGAAATGATTCGAGAAAAGGGTTTGGCAATTTGGAGTAGATGATGGCAACCGGTGTGCAGAGAAGTAGAACGCATGGGAGAACACCTACTTGGCCTCCCGTCTGCTTGGTGTTTGCCTGACTTCCCTTCTCTTTGGGTTGCTGTCTTCCTCGTCCACAGCCTTTCTTCCTTTTCTAAGTGGCGTCTATCACTTTTGATGGGGTGACGTGAACACTCAAAGTCACATATTTAAAATGAACACACCAAAGGTACAATTTACAGGAAATTCAGATTCCTATTGCTAACTAATCAATTAATCAAAACTAGTGGTCTGTAAACATTTTCAGAAACATGACCTATTTGAAGAAATACCAGTATTTCAAGACCTACACACAAATGCATAAATATGAATCATAAAAACCTATTTCTATTTTCATTAAATCTCTCCCACTGGGTCTTATATCACTCATGCAACTGGCCAGAGGTTTTGCTGCAGTGTAGTCAGTTCTTCCTAACAAGTTGATATTTTCTACCTTATTTTATTTCATGAGAATTCATTGCTCCAAAAGTCATGTCCACAAATGCAGGTGACCATTTCAGGACCCCCAAAGCCTTGAACACCCATGGACACAAACCCAGTCCAGGGAGCTGACATTCAGTTAGAGACGGCGCCCATCCTCACCCACAGAGACCAGGTTCCGGAAGTTCTCCAGCATCACGTCTCGGTACAGCTGCCTCTGGGCGGGTTCCAGGAGCCCCAGCTCCTCCTCGCTGAAGACCACAGCCACGTCTTCGAAGGTCAAGTCCTCCTAGAACAGGAAACACCTGTAACCTCAATTTTATAATCAATGGCCACTTGGAAAGGGACAGCTCTGAAAGGTGGAAAGGACAGTGTGGGAAGTGATTCCAGATTTTGAGGGATTTAAGTGAATTTGTAGACTTCTCAGCCCTTCCCTTCTGTGTCACCAATGCCATACCCTGATTTTCCTTAGCTTCACTGGAAGTGTGACAATGACAATGTCCTTGGCTCTTTATTTTGTGCCTTCACTGAGGCTCCTTATAACTAACCCCAAAAACTATAAGCATGCGTCCTGGGTTACAGGTGTTTTATGTTTTAGTGAAATTGCCAGCTGCTTCCAGAAACATTTAGCAATTTAGTCCGGACATATTTGACAGCACCCAACTTCCTCTCACACACATGAATCCCGGATGCTATCACTTTTCTGCCAAACTACCAGGCTTTTGGCCATCTGTGCAGGACAGCTATCTGGTTCACCCCAGGAATAATTCAGCATCACACTGTAGCCAGCGTGCCTCAGGACGATTCCCAAAGGTCTGCCCCTTACTAGCTGTGTCACCTTGGCCAAGTTCACAGACCTGTGTGTTTCCTCTCTGTATAATGGTCCTGACATGACAAGAGTTCTTTCAAGAATCAAACAAGCGATTATCCAGCATTTGGAACAGTATGTGGCACAGAAAAAAGCGCCTTGTAAACATTGGCTATTATTACTTCTTCAAAGTATCTTTATCAATATCTACATCATTTCACTTTGTGGCTGTATATTATTCCACGGAACTGATTATCTATATTTACTGTTCTTAAGGAAGAATACTTAATTTTACATATTTTTCTCATTATAACCCATCCTGCAAAAAGCACAATTTTATGTACTTCCTTGTCTCACTTTTAAAAAATAACTGCAAATGAAAATTTAAATGTTAAAAATAAGCACGCTTAGAATTATATAATGGAAGATTTTCTTCTCAAACTATTTCCTACTTGCGTAATCTTTTCAGAGAACACAAGTGCCCCCATTTGCCATATGACGGCAGGTTATAAATTTTCCCATGTGGGAGGAACAATTAATTTTTGTATTCTGACTTATTTGATTATAAATTAATAGAATTAATTACCTTTTCCGATATTAATGTATATTAATAACTGACATTTATTGAACATGTCTGTTCATGTCCTTATTCATACTCTCTGGATATTTTTCTTTATCATATACATAAGATTCCCATTATGGATTTTGTCTCTTTTTGCATCTGAGCGGTAAATGTTTTGCCTCAGGCTGTTATTTTTTTCTGGCAATATATGTAAAGTAGCTTTTGCCAGAGGAATTTAAAGATTTTTAAACGACTGTGCTCACTGCGGTCTTTGTGCACCAGGGGCACTGAGCACCTTGGAGCGCCTGAGGCGGTGGTCCTACAAGAGGGGCAGAAATGCACCCCAAAATGGGGGCCAGGGGAGGAGCAGTGCCCCCTGTGGAAACCAGCCCTTAAAATGGCACCCCAGACACCCACACTACAGGGCACAGGTCCCGAGGTGAACTCTTTCTTCTTGACCATCTCTGTCACTCGAGCAGAGGGCCTAACACTGCCACCCTCGGTCTCCTAGTGAGCCTGAGCAGGTAGTCATACTTCATGTGCTTAAGTTGAAGATGGCACCAAAATCTCCGCATTCCGCTGCTCCATGGAGTGAACGCAGAGAACAAAGTGCAAGTTAGCGGCAAATCTGTTATCACTGGACATCTGATACTAAGGTAACCTTAGTATCAGTAGCTGGACTATTAGTTTGGTCCAGCTAGTTAACACATAAAAGAATGAAAAAGGTCAATAAAGAAAATACACACAAATCATGACAGGCAAGTGGAAGGCAGAATCTAGCTTTTCCTGTGTGAAGACCTTCAATAATATTTATGTGAAGCAGCAGTTAGAGCCTGCTGGGCTGTGTCTGTGTGCAGATATTCTACCTACAAAGCCGCCAATTTGACACATATCAAAAGCACTCTTTCAATACTGAACTCATGGTATATCGCACACCAAAAATATGCAGACTGTTCTCAGAACTGGTTTTGGGGGGAAAGGTTTTCTGCGGGCGAGCCAGCTGCCCTGGCAGTGTTGCTTAAAACAATAAGAGTCCTAAACCACCTAAATGTCTATGAAGGGGAGGCGGTTAAAAAGATGCATCAATTCAACGCAAATGTGGTGTGATTTACATTCCACACACAAAAAATGAATGTTATATAAGATTAAAGGAAAAGAGTCACAATTTAAAATTAGATGTGTATTGTGACTATAAATAAGGAGAGTATGAGAAAATAAAGACAGCTCATTTGTCAGCAGGGAAGTAGTAACGTGGGAAAATTGTTCATTTCAATTCTTCCACTCCATAAAATAAGTAAGTAAGATAAAAACTAAAAACAAATGCAAAGTAAACTTGAAAGGGACAAAGAAAAACTCTGGAGCAAAATAGGTCCTACAAAGCCTGTTGACAATATGAGTAATGAGGTGGAATTCTGAAGTGAGAAAGGCAAGCTCTACTCACCGTGAATGTGGTCATTTTTCCTTCTACTTCCAGGGATGTGCAGAGTCCTGAGCTACAGAGATCCCAGGCAGGCAGACTGTGCCTGGCAGCACCTAGGAAGCAGGAAGAAGAGATGGAAGGGGGGCCTGGAATGCTGCTCACTTACACGGACAATTATTGTGAATGAGCGCATGAATGCTCATAGCAGCATTATTTATAACCTAAAACAACTGAAATGACCTTTGCATGAACAAATAGCAAATTGTGGTGTATCCATACAGTGAACATTATTCACCAATGAAAAGGAACGACACAAAAAGAGACAAGTACTGATTATGCTATAACGTGGATGAATGTTGTAAACATTATGGAAAGCAGAAGCAGCCAGTTGCAAAAAATCACATATTGTTTGATTCCATTTCATGAAATGGCCAGCACAGGAAAATGTATGGGGACAAGAAGTGGACTGGTGATTGTCTGGGTGTCTGAGGAGTGCTGTCGCGGGCTAGCTGAAAGTGGATATGAGGAATCCAATTGAGGAATGAAACTGTTCTAAGCTGAATGATGGCAGTGGTTGCACCACTTAGTAAAGTCACTAAGAATCATTGAATTGCACACCCAAAATGGGTGAATTCTATATGTACAATATATCTCAAGTTGGTAAAATAAATGTGTGCTAATTTACACGTCATTTGAAATTAACAAAACTAACTTATGGGTTTTGAGTCATACTAATATTTTTATTTGAATGAATGAATAAATAAGTGAGGGAAAAGAGAAAACTTGTCTTCATAGTAGAATGTATACTAGGTAAATGTATCTCCCTACAAAAAATACTTCACTAATTAAAAAAAAAAGATAGTGACTTTACAGTGGAGAAATCTGACAGGTATCATCTCAGCCTAGAGAACAAAGTTGAATTCCCCAACCTAGGCACAAACTAACTTCCTTCTTCCTTCTGTTGCTGTTATGCTGCAGTGAGAGGGACACCTCACCATTTCAGTAGAATCCCCACCAACAGTGCATAATCTGAACTGAAACATCGCCTCTAGCAGATAAACCCCAAACACAGGACTTTCTCCAAAAGAACCTGCCTCCATACTCTTCAAAAACATCAATAATAAAAAAAGACAAAGGCTATGGAACTGTTCCATGTTAAAGAACATTGTAAGTGTGATACAAATTTTGTAAAATGTTTATGAACAAATATACCATTCAAGGCAATGCATATAATTGAACTTTGAACTGATGGGCAAGCAGTTACAAGGACTTTAAATTAAAAACAGAACAAATAAATACAGAATTACATAACAGTGCATTATGTAGCTTAATCTAATAGACAACACTATTAACTACTATTAACAATCACTTAATATAATCTAATATCTAATAGATAATACTGATACTATTACCTAGTATGTCTAATTATTACCAAGCACGTGATGCTAAAATCCTATAATCAGCCTCTCCTAAATCTCTCTTACCAAGACATCTCCTGTTTCCATGGTATGTGGGCTTCCTTCCTGCAAAAACCTAAAATAAGCTGCCACCAAATCCATGTATATTCTTGGTGTTATGTGCTCATGGAACCACAAAGAAGATAAGCCAAATGTAAACAATTGGTGAATTTGGGTAAAGAGTATATAAGAATTCCTTATGCAATTCTTGTCATTTTTCTATAGATTTGAAGTTATATAAAAATAGGGAGTTAAAAAAATTAGTAAACAGTCACAGGAATAGCAATAATAATGATAATAAGGGTGATCATGAAATTGTATGTAAGTTCATTAGCTTATTCTTTATTGGCAAGGTTTGGAAATTTCCATAGTTTAAACACACAAGGGGGAAAAAACTTTAAGACAAATATGGTAGGAATTTTATAAAATGTTTATAGACAAATACACAAAACCCACTAAACCGAAATGCATTAGAATTCCAATAGCTGCTGTCTTTACACCTTGGATTACTGGGTAATTTTTAAAAAATTGTTTTCTCCATATTTTTAGAATTTCTGAATCTTGCACAATGATAGTGGTTCAGTAAGAGTAAGAAATATTATAAGTGAAACGAACAGTTGACAATAAAAAAAATAAGTCCAAGCCCACTAGCCTTGCTTTTAAGGTCACCCAGAATGAAGTCCTAACTCCCTGGCCTGATTCCAGCTAAGAGAATATATCCAAGAGATTACAACTCAAGCTCTGGACTCAGAGCGCCTACATTCCAACCTCAGCTCAGGCTCTTATCAGGTGGGCGAGGATGGGCAAATAATTTATGCTTCCTGGGTCTCAATCTCATTTTATAGATTAAGGGCAAAAAAATGTATTCACAAAGCCGTGGTGTGGCATAGTGTATTTAATCTGCATAAAGACCTCATCACTTAAATGAGCATTTAAAGATTAATTATCAATATCCATGCCCATTACACGTCCTACACATTCTCCTATTGATTTGAACATGCTGTAACAGAAACAATGGGAAGTCCCACTTATGTGGAGCTGATGTCAGTAGTAGAGGTAGCTTAGGAGTCACCCCTTCCACCTCTATTCAGTCCTTTTGGAGAAGTCAGGCTGAAGAAAGAAAGAATGCTGTGAAAACGTCATCATCGTGTCGCCATCCTCAATAAAACTTAAGCCTTCACTCCCCCTCTGCAGTCTGGAGGCAACCCTCACCTTCCTAAAAATGAAATCAGAAGCGGTCCACGATTAAGCAGTCAGGCAGGGACCAGGAAGAAGAGCAAGGGTCACTGCAGCTGGATCTCTGACCCTAAGCGGGACCTGACCGCTGCAAAGGAAGAGATACAAAATACTAAGGAGACATCACCATTCACCACGTGCCAGGAGCTGTTTTAAGATTTATACTTCTACCACTTCTTTTTAACTCCCAAAAAGAATTCCTTTAAGAAGGTCCTAATATCTTCCTTTCAAAGAACGGCAACGGGAAGCACAAGGGAGATTAACTCCTCAAGGCTAGGAAGCAGAAGCGAGAGCGGAAGGTGTAGGGAGGCGGACTGTCCCAGCTGAGACCCACGGGAACTCTTAAACCGCGCGACACGCGACCCGAGCTCGTCCCCACACAGGGACGCAAGAATCGCCGCAAAGGCTGAAGCTCGGCGGAGGGGACGCACGCTGCCGCTCTCACCTTTTCATACCTGCGCTCTCCGCTGAGGCTTATTTTCCCCTAAATTCACCGCCTGGTTGGTGCAGGTCCAGGAAGTTCGGAAGGGCCAGCGAGAAGCGGAACTGACGCACACTCCCGCGGAAAATACCTTAGCAACCGCACACTACCCGGGCGGAAGTGCCTGCCCGCCCACGGAGCTCCTGGACTACACTTCCCAGAATGCACCAAACCCACTTTTCTCAGTGCAACAGTCGCGGCCGCAGGGCGTCTGGACTACACTTCCCAGAATGCCGCAGGAAGAGCGTCCATAGTTTCACCCTCCCGAAACAAATGTTGCGGAGACCGGAAGCTCCTTGACTATATTTGGCAAAAGGCCAGAGCGGGAAAAAAGTCCCACAGCCCCGACTTCCTGGGCGGTAATAACGGTTCCTATACTAAGCCTGTGAGTAGCCTTTCCTTGAGTCCTTCAAAGAAAATATTCCATGGACATGACTTTCTGAAGTCGAAGTAATACCAGGGTTCTTGTTCACGGAGCGGAAGAATGAACTTCGGAAACACTCAAGGCTTTTATTTAGAGATAATATGCCCATTTTTGATGAGTAGCAGAAGACATCTGCTGCTCTGATTCTTTCTCAGGATAGCAGTTTCCCTCTGGGAGCATATCAATGAAGACCACCTGCCCTGCCCCCAGGTGGGCTGGGTTGTTGTCTGTTTGCTAAAGAGTGTGGTAAGAGTCTTTTTAACTTTTTGGGTTGTTTATAGTTTGGCTTGCTTACTAAATTAATCTTTTGCCCAAAATTGCAGATTACTTGATTAGGATTAAAGAAGGAAAAACAGCATATAGGTACAGTTAAAAATAAACTGGGCGTTTTAGCAGGCTAAGGTAAATTTTACAGTGTCATGATCTAATTGACAAAATGAAGTCACGGGTTATGCTAAGATACTTTTCTTTATCTGGAGAACATTTAAACATTTCAGACCAAGTTGCTCTTGGCTTTTGCAGCTTTAACTGATTTCACTGAAGAATGTCTGTATTCCTAGTCTGGTTTCTTTACCCTAGAGAATTAGTGTAACTCTGACTTTGGGTAATGCTTAACACAGAGTTTTGATAGGGACTTCTTTGCACATTGTTACCTCCTTCTGACTGTAATTATCTTGCTTTGCTTTTTTCTGGAGGCCCTCACCCTACTGTGCCTAAACCCATGGTCCCTGTCTCAGTAGTGCTTCATATTATGGCAGGAGTAGTATTGTTGGAACAAGTAAGGAGATACAATCCTCAAGAAATTAATGATTGTTTAGGGAACACTAGATGATTGAGAGGATAATGTTCTGTATAATCTCACGATGAGACTAAAACTCAGTTTAAAGAATGGACAAGGTAGAATAGTGTGGGTGGAAGCGAGGAAGACACTAATTGCTTACTCTGGCCCCTGTGGTAACATTGGTTTGGCAGAAAAAAAACAACTGGAAAGGGCCAAAGTGAAAGCTTGTCTTCATGAGACAACATACATATTTTATTTTTAAAGTGAAGCCTCATATTCTGTATCCATTGTTCTAAACTCAGAATAAGCTATACATTTTCTAATATCAGTCACTGAAAATCGAACTCCTTCCTAGTGAAGGCTGTATAATGCTGCATTGAATGGATTGAGAATGAAAAGCAAAGCAGCCCCTGACATCTGGGAGCTGGTGTGGCTCTCACAGGTAGGCCCTGTTATTCTCCTTTGGGACATAAATAAACTGCAGAATACTCTCCTCAATTGATGTTTGTCTGAGACAGTGGTAAAGTGAGACAAAACAATGCCCTGTCATAGTTTTGTTTAGACACAGATGAAAACAAGGTCACTGTACAAACCACACAATGTCAAATAGTCCTCTCTTGGCTAAAGGACTGCTACTTCTTTCCCACTTACAGCTTTATCCTCACTCTAGTCTGCCCTCCCAAAGGATAAAATTTGTTGAGATAATCTTAAAGTTGCCCTGGCTTTCTGACAGCATCCAATCCGGAGTGAACCCTGCTTCCTTAGACCCTCCCCCAAACCACCCAAACAAAGCCCAAATCCTATAATAGATCCTTTCTAACACCATCTTATCCATGTGACACATTCCTGTGATGGGTTTACTCTCTCACTGCAACAAATAATAAGCCCAGCTTGTCCTACTGGTGTGTGCCTGGATGAATTAAGCATTTTGGCATACCCTCTGATGAGTAATAGGTTGGCTATTACATATGAAGCTGCAATTAACATAATTTTATGTTCTTCTGGGATAGACACTGTTGGCTAGTGAACCAACCACCCATCACAAATCCTTCATTTCTTATACCTTCTCTATAGAGAATAGCAAAGCTAAATGCTCACTTTCCCACCTTCCTTGTAGCAACACATTTCCATGGGTAGACCTGGCCAATGAGATACTTGGAGCAGATTGCTTGCTATGCACTGGTTGTCAATCCTAAGGGTATAGGGTACTGTGCATCAGTTATCTCCTTGACAGTTTGGTACAGTAAGCAGGGTCACCAAAGAAATGCAGTCAAACAAGGGTCCACTGTCTGAAACACACTTTAAGCCAAATGGGGCATCAGATTTTGCAAAAGAAAGAGTGTTATTAATGGCAATGGAACAAGGAGACACTCCTGAGCTCAAATCTGTCACTGCTCATCAGGAGAAGAGGCTTTTTAAAGTGCTTTGGACGGGATTAAGATGAAGGCTGTTCAGAGCATGAAGTGGGATTGGTTGAGGGTTGGGAAATGCCTACTCAGGTTTCTCCTATTCCACAATGAGGGTGATCAGTTGCATGCTAATTTGGGTCATGTTTTCTGTTGTTGATTGTCACTTCCCTTTCATTTTATGTCACCTGTCACCTCAAATCATTAGACTGAAGTCCTTGAGGCACTTTCATTGCCTGGAGAATTTTTGTTCCAGGCATCAAAAAGGTCAACAACCAGGCAAATGAACCTAACCTGGGCATGCTCTAGAGGGCTCCACAAATTTCACCTGGAACTAGCAGGTTGCTGCAGGCCTGACAAGAGCTGGGACATTTCTGGTCACTATTTGAAAAGTAAGCTCAAGAGTATTGATTAATCATTTGCAATTGCAATCCTGCAAGGCATACTTTCAGAAACATACTATGGTATGGTGGAACTGCAAGGGTTTGTCAGCCCCATGGCCTCAAGGTAGTGCCAGGTTCCCAGGGAGGAACTGTCTTAAGGTGCTGACCACCCTTTGCCCACATAGGGACAAATGGATTGTAGACAATCTCCCTGTTAACAGGAGTGAGTTGGTGTAATGGCTGGGGACTGAAGTATGAGAGGTGGCCCCTAAGAAGAGCAGGGAAGCTACGCTTAGGGTATTGACCACTCCTATGCTATCTGCCAAGTCCCATAGTATCCCAAGGATTGCAGACAATCACTGGGGGAAGCAGAAGTACCTGTGCAGGAAGCTCCATCTGCTCCAAGTCACTTGACAGCCTCAAGTAAGACCCATTCACTCAGCATTAAACAACTGATGGCATTGCTGAAAATAAGACTGTTGAAATAAGATCTCTGAGGGAGAAATTTAAAAGTTCAAGTACATGGATAACCTAGAAATGGAAAACTTTCTAGAAAAATACAACCTTCCAAGGGTGACACAGGAAGAAACAGAAAATCTAAACAGACCAATTACCAGAAATGAAATTGAATTGTTAATCAAAAAACTACCCAAGAACAAAACTCCTGGACCAGATGGATTCACCGGTGAATTTTATCAGACATTTAGAGAAGACATAATACCCATTCTCCTTAAAGTTTTCCAAAAACTAGAAGCAGAGGGAGTACTTCCAAATTCATTCTATGAGGCCAGCATCACTGTAATACCAAAACCAGACAAAGACACTACAAAAAAAGAAAATTACAGACCGATATCCCTGAGGAACATAGTTGCAAAAATACTTAACAAAATATTAGCAAACTGAATTCAAAAATACATCAGAAAGATCATCCATCATGATCAAGTAAGATTTATTCCAGGGATGCAAGGATGATACAATATTAGAAAATTATTAAACATCATCCACCACATCAACAAAAAGGGCAAAAACTACATGATCTCCACAGATGCTGAAAAACCATTTGACAAAATTCAACATCCATTCATGATAAAAACTCTCAACAAAGTGAGCATAGGGAGTAAGTACCTCAACATAATAAAGGCCAATACAACAAACCCACACCAACATTATACTTAACAGCAAGAAGCAGAAAGCTTTTCCTCTAAGTTTGGGAACAAGACAAGGATGCCCACTCTCCACACTTTTATTCAACATAGTTCTGGAGGTCCTAGCTATGGCAATCAGACAACACAAAGAAATAAAAGGCATCCAGATTGACAAGGAAGAAGTTAAACTACACTGTTTGCAGATGACATGATATCATACATAAAAAACCCTAAAGAATCCACTTCAAAACTACTAGAACTAATAACTGAATTCAGCAAAGTTTCAGGATACAAAATTAATACTCAGAAATCTGTTGCATCCCTATATACTAATGATGAATGAGCAGAAAATCAAGAAAACAATTCCATTCACAATTGCATAAAAAATAATAAAATACCTAGGAATAAACCTAACCAAGGAAATGAAAGACCTGTACCCTGAAAACTACAAGACACTCATGAGAGAAATTAAAGAAGATACCAATAAATGGAAATACACCCCATGCTCATGGACAGGAAGAATTATTGTTGTCAAATGGCCATCCTGCCTAAAGCAATCTACAGATTCAATGCAACCCCTATCAAAATACCAATGGCATTCTTCAACAAACTAAAGCAAATAGTTCTAAAATTAATATGGAACTACCAAAGACCCCGAATGGTCAAAGCAATCCTGAGAAGGAAGAATAAAGCAAGGGGGATTATGCTCTGTAACTTCAAGCTCTACTACAAAGCCACAGTAATCAAGACAATATGATACTGGCACAAGAACAGACCCATAGATCAATGGAACAGAATAGAGAGCCCAGATATAAACCCAAGAATATATGGTCAATTAATATATGATAAAGGAGCCATGGTTATTCCATGGGGAAATGACAGCCTCTTCAACAACTGGTGTTTGGGCAAACCTAGACAGCTACATATAAGAGAATGAAACTGGATTATTATCTAACTCCATACACAAGAGTAA